TGTTAGAAAATGTAGCTTTGTTGGAACACCAACATTGGAGTCTGATGAGGAATCGCATGTCCTTCCTCTGCTTTTTCTTAACCTAAGAAAAAGAAACTGAAACAAATGTTGTCCTTATAACATGGATTGATTCAAACTATCTACCTAACTGCTGAAGTTTCAGTTTATCTGACATTATGTAGAACGATTAATTCTGCCCCATACTGGTGGATGTATTATTTCTGTAGTGCTAATCACAGAAACCAGTTAAAATTCTACAGTCCAGAACTAATGTTTTGCTATATGACTAACCTTAATTTCTTTTCTTAAAAAGTATTGTAAAATAAAATCTCATTTATCACAGCAAGTGTATTGATTGAAACTGATTTGAATGAAATTATGTCTTTTTTGCTGAAGGGGAAGCACAGCAAGAAGGACTAAAGTGACTTCTGTTTTTTTTTTTTTTTGTGAATTGTCAGTAGAAGGGTCCACAAAAAGTGAATCCACTTTTCAGATTGAGTTAGATACACTTGTGCAAAGTAACACTGTGTAACAGGTCTGTTTATGAAACTTGGCTGCAGGCCACTGTACTGACAGTGGCCTTCTCACCTGGGAGCCAAGCACTGTGCCAGTGGAATCACCCTTGTGTGCTTATTTACACTGTCATCTTCCAGGAAGACTGCATTTTAAACTCAAGTTTATATAAAAGGTGAAAGCTCTTTAATTGCTGAATATATTCTAGAAATGGCCTTGCTGTTAGGAGCTGATAGTGTTTAAATTAATATGTATATACTCCATGGTATTCCTTTTACTTTTTAATATGGTAAGATGTTATCAAAGAAATGCACATTGAAGGGGCTGATTTTCATTCTTACTTAGGGCCTTTTACAGCATTCAAGCAAGGGAAAGGGTTCTCTGAGCACATGTAAATTATACTCATGCTTATTTAAAGCCTGTGTAAATGCAAATCACACCCTATACATTAAAGTAGCAGCATTAAAATTATATTTTCATTCATATGACTGCTTTTATTGGCATGTGTCTTCACACTCAGGCACAGTTAGGTGCTTCGTTTGAATGATGATGAAATACAGTGCTTGTTCTCTGATTGCATCCCATCTTTTCCTTCCAGCGCATGATTGCCAACACTGTCAGGACAGTGAAATTCTGCCGAAGCCAATCTTTCAGTAAGTGTATTACAACATCTGTACTGTCGGCATTATCATCAGTAGCTACAGTAATTACAACTAATTCTGTGTGTACCAGAACTGAAGAGCCTGCTTTGCAGTGATTCTTCCATGTTTGGATCCTGTGAGGTTTCACAGGGCGAAATATCCTTCAGGAAGCTCTAATAAACCCCTTCTCCTCTACCTCTTTTTCCATGCATGTAAAAGAGCTAAATATCTGTGAGGTCTCTATGCATCTGTCAGATTAGAGCCAGTTGAAATTAGACACTGGATTCAGAAGTAGTTGAAATAAGTCTAGCAGGCAGCAGAACACAAATACTTGCTTGGATAAATGCTGTTTTAATATGAAACCAGTCTGGAGACATGGCCTTTATAAATGACATAACTGCAAAAGGCGGTGAATTTAAAACCTGTTTGTCAGTATAATTACTAGAACTTTCTTGAGGCCAAGTAAGATGACAGAGCTGTATGGTCAAACAGGCTTCTCTGTGGGTCTCATCCCCTCGAGCTGCACAGTCAGTCTCAGTCACATGGGCATTTCCTCAGCACTTCATCCATTTTGACTCACAGTACCTTTCCTCTTTCTCAAACAATAGAATAAATAATATAAAACTATATTTTTATAAAATAGTTTATTTCCATATGAATTAAAGCTTAACTGTAGAAATTTCTGTAGAACTGTAGAAATTAAGAAAGATTTTTTTTCATCCATAATCCAGATTTTTCTGGCTTTGTGTCTTTAATATTGTATTAAGCATGGGTGAGACATCCAGATACTTAGAAATGGAAGCAGATTTTCATTATACATGATATAACAAAATGTCTGTATATACATCTGCTGGATCTAAATTCCATGGGTTTTGTGTGTGTGTATGTGTAATGTAATGTAGATGCCTCAGTATAATTTTTTAGTTGAATTTAAGTTACCTAACACATATTACATTACACTGTAAGATGTTCCCTGTGGAGCTGAAGGTATTTAGAATTTAACTTAGTACTACTCCATAACTGCTGCTGGAGTAGGTATAATGTGGTTAAGTAATGTAAACAGGTAGTAAATTCTGAGGCTTGAATAGGCAGTCAGTAAACACTGCATTGTTACAAATATTTAATACTGAGCCAGAAATGAGAATATTGCATGAAAAGAGGCTTAAATCAATTACATAATTTTGAATCTGTGAAAGTTGCTGGTTCAAAAGCAAACGGGCAGCTTTAAATTGTACTTGTTAGCTGTATAATGTATAGCTAATGACTGATAAGGTGATGTGTAAAACTGTAACCAAGGGCCATCAATTTTAGTAAATGTAGCCAAGGATGTCCAAAAGAAAAGTTAATTTGTGGGGGTAGTAACCAGAAAGACCATCAGATACGGAGAAAAGATTTCAAAGGGAGCAATTTCTAAATATTTCCTTTTTAACTCACCAGGATCTAGTCTTTCCTGTGACAGCTTGTAAGGAGTTGTGCATTTTGTTCAGGCATTTGTCCATTTATGTGTATCAATCCTACATCATTTCTCTTTCACCAGATCCTGATGCAGCGCTAACTAATAAAAACCATCAGGATGTTCGGAGCTACGTGCGGCAATTAAATGTGATTGACAACCAGAGAACTTTATCACAGATGTCTCACCGACTGGAACCGCGCCGAGCATAAACATTTGAAGCAATGATGAGAAACGATCTTTTATCCTCTCAAGGTCACTTGTTAAGAACTTCACTTTCTCTGCTACTGCACTGCCACTACAAAAATAAGCAAAAACATACCATAAGGTCTTAGGCAACGCACAATGTACCAGCCTGCTGGAGAACTTTGGCTGAGGAAGAATTTATGCACTGTAGGTGTATGGGTGGCCATGTTGTGAGCTGTTAATTCATCTTGAAGTGTGGTAAGTGATATCTCATATGGATTAAAAAAAAAGGCAAAAGATAGAATAGTTAGTGAGAAATGCACAAAAACTTATAACAATTCTAAGGTAGGTAGTGAGTCCTTCTCCCTAATTAAGAATCTGTATTTTATGATTTATGCTTCAGGTCAGGACCAAAACTGATCATCAGTTTAGCTTGCTCAGCTACTGTTGACCTCAATAGAAGATAGATGTAAGGACCTGATGAAATAATGTAGGTTCAAGAGTGGTCCAAGGTATAGTTCCATTCAGAGAAGACTTGCAAATATTTCCATTTTAAATACAACAAATACTAAGAACAATTCCTAATCTTAATCATACTGTCTAGTACTACAAGCAGTGTGGCCATTTCAGAAAACTGACAGGACTGAAAATATTTTGAATGATAAATAGATTAATCAGTGTTTACATTTTACTTCCTTCTTTTTAAACTACCAATCAAGTTTTTACAAAATTCAGTTAAAAAGTAAGGTCATCAAAACCAATAGCATTAAAAGTAGCAAAGGACTGGTTCAAAAAGAGCACAATATGCACAAATGGATTTCAAGAGAATATTTTCCTGGACATTAAAAACTTAAACTTCAGCTAGAATTAATCGTGGCTGGTTAACACATTTTCTGGTCTTACACATTTACAAATATCTTAATTTTCAGTCAATTGTTTGCACTTTCAGTAGACTGTAAATAAATGTCTATTCATTTTGCTCTATAATATTTATTTATGTAATAGTTATTGTGCCAAAATAATTCTGGTTTATTTATTTTGTTTAGCATGTTATGAGAGTACAGCTTTTGTCTTCACACTCTGTGCATTTACATGTAGAAGTTGTGTGATCTATCTTTTCTGTAAATAACATGCAGTACCTTATTAAATGTAATTGCTGGAAAGGTTTAGTCACTGGCCTTATTTGCATTTTCAGCTTCATTCCTGCATAAATACCAATGCTACTAATTGGTTGATATATCAAACTTGGCTTGTCATTTGCTGAGCCTCAAACCCGCAGCTGGCCTTCATGCACTGAGAGATGGACAATGAGATTAAAGCCAACCAGATCCATCCCTGCCACGGGGGATGACAGGCAGTGACGCAACGCAATGGTCTCAGTAGCTCATCTGTTTCTCAGGAGAAAACATTTAAATTGGAAGGGTTTAAATAAAAAAGGGATATATTCTTAATTTTAGCTGTTTTTTTTTTCATGTGAGCACTACAAGTTACCTTATCTTGGGCAGGATTTTACCTCAGGTTGGCAAATGCAAGACCTTGGCTAGTAAGGCACTTGAGAGACCTCTGGGTTCGATGACCATGGGGAGGTCTCTCAGGGCCTGCAGCCATGAGGAGAGAGGTGCTCTGGCATGTGCCCTTTCCCCTCCTGAATGCTCCTGGGGATGGCTGTACTGCTGCTGGGCAAGCCCAGATGGCAGCCAAGTGCATGCCAAGGGAATGACGATGTACAAATGGCAAAAGTCTTTCCTATTGCGTTCACGCTGGTTCTGCGCTGTGAAGCTGGATGTCATAAAACTGATTAAGCCTGAAATTAGAAGTTGCAACTATTATCTCATAATTAGGCTTCAGAGATGACCTCATTGATATAGTCTACATTTTGCTTTGGACGCAGAGCATATTATTTTTGGCATTGAGCAGGACTGTGTGAAATCAGTATACAAATACAGGGGTTTTTTTAATCTATAAAAATAATTACATTCTTTTAGTAAAAATATAAATTCTGCAAAAGCTGAGAGACACCAGGGAAATGCTGACACAGAACCACAATCTGCTTGGTACCTGCATTCTGCAAAGGAAAGAATTACATGCTTAAGAAATATTCTGCAGCATGATGAAATAATTTATTTTTGCTTTGCTGTCTGACTGGAAGTTCAAGATGATTCAGAGGAAAACCAGCTAATATATAGAGACAAATTTGTGTCATGGTATTTCAAGTGAGAAATATTTATTTCCATTTGTGCTGTTCAATGAATATACTTCATATGGCTTTTTCAGATACAGAATCTTCCCAGAAGCAAAGTATGCAGTAGAATAAACTACAGGGACACAATTACTTCAACAGGCATTTTTATCTTTGCAATCAGTTGGTAACATTTCTGAGTTCATGATTTTATTTATTCCAGGTTTGTTCCTATTGTTTGGACTTTCATTTATTTCTGTGTTAGCTGGTTTATAAAGCTGCCAAGTTTTGGCTTGGCTCTGTGTATAGACCAATTCTTCATCCGTTTAGTATGTTTTTATCCCTTTGGTTTATTCTTTTTTTCTTTAGAACTTCTAACTGTTTTACTTATTTGTTGCCAACAGTCTCTATCATGTAGTTGTGTCCCAGTGATACAAAGAGAGGTTTTATGGCACCTCCATATCAAAAAATGAATGCAGTTTACCTACTCAATGACACAGGTATCTGACATTTTAAAATTTCCCAATAAAGGGTGCTGTATAAATAACAAGTGTTGCTATCTCTGTATTTAACTCATTCAAGTGGCTCAGGTAGTTGCTATGGTTCTAATCACTGTCTAAATACCTAGAGATTAGATAAATAAAACTACTATCTGGTTCTAGGATCTGTGCTACCCTTCCCCCCTGTGTTGACTTTACAACAGGAGGGCAGCTGTCAATATATTGCTTTGGCTTTAGGACTACTGTTGCACTAGAGTGGAGAATGAATAGGAACTCAAGAAACACTGAAATGTCAGAACATCCATCCTGACTTCACCCTGTGCTCGCAGCTGCGCGTCACGACTTGTTCCTGCTGCACTGCGGGCACCGCCTTGCTGCTGACTCTCAGATGGCTCTGCAGGCCTGGCTGCAGGGATTGGGCAGTCCCAGCACCGCTCTGCTCATGGTTCATCCTGCTTTAGCTGCAGCGCTTGGCCTGGTTTCGGCCCATGCCAGCTACCCCTGCAGGAGAGTGTCCAGCCATTACTTACAGGGGATCATGCAGCTGGGCCATTTCCAGGGGAGACTACAGAGCTGTCTGTCCTGTCTCTGTCCCACCCCCACAGTCCTCCAGTGGGGCCCAAGGTGCTCTGCACCTCCATCACACCCACTTGCATGAACAGCATAAACACTACAGCACAGCGCCCTCCTCACTGCAACACTGCAGGCTGAACAAACATAAACCTGTTCTAAATCCTAATCAGGATGATTATGTCTGAGGGTCACAGGCCATACAGTGCTGGTATGGCTGGTCCCTGCTGCATGACCAGAGCCCAGAGCTCCTGGTCCTGTTTTATTTACTGGCAGAGTCATAACTGTAGTATGAGTTTTCAGGTGAGATATGACCAGGAGGCAGTGTCCATAATAAATATCCACTGCTGGGGACCACTGAGCTAGGGTGGTGACACCTTGGGCATTTTGGAAAATGTTCTGCATTACAGGGTTCCACCACTGGCCTTTTTTTGGTCAGGCAGCAGTAGAGAACACAAACACCACTGTTCAGAGCTGCAGAGCCTAAGGAGTCACAGGGTACAGCTCTCCCTACGCTGGCACATTTCACTTTTGTTCATTTGTTAGGATTTCTTTCTGCACACCAGGAGGCTACAACTGTTTGGTAAAGGCAGGATTCAAAATATTTTCCATGGACAACTTGTTCAAACCCAGTCAGCCACAAAGATATAACAGTGGCAGATAAAAGAATTCAAATGTATTTGCAGGACTCTCTAGATGGTGGGTTTGGGTTCTTTCTTCCTAGGTAAAATATTGTGAGGGCACACAGTCTCTTCAGACCAGGTACAAAAAGAGACAGAAACAAAATGCTTCTTTTCATAGACATTGGCAAAGCAGCCTTTTAAGTACAAGAAATTTAAATATAATTTAGAAACCTCACAAAATAAGTTAGAGAGAAATCAAAAGATTTAACCTTCAGGGGTACAAAAAGAGATAATGAATTTTGCTTGGGAAAAAAAATTAACAAAATTATAAATCTAAATTGTTAACACAGCTTCTTAGTAAGGTCAACTGCATAATATAGAGCACCTTAACCTCTTCCAGCAAATTTTAAACACCATGCAGCTTAAATAGACTACTTCTGAATTCAGCAGTATTTCTTTTGGGAGCTCTGAATGCAAATCAAGAGGTAATAGTAGAAGGAAATTAAAAGATGTGCTATTCTCATTTCATTTTTTTGTACTGATAATAAGGAAAGCAGCATAGAGTGATATGGCAAAGTGAACCTCTAACTTCAATAGCTTTTCTTTCGCTGTTAATCTGAAATGCATTACACTCTGCCTTTTCAAATAATCATAATGTTCTTTACTGTAGCCTGCATTAAAGTTTAGCAGGCATAAGCAGCAGCAGTCACCAGAGGTCAAGGTATTAGCAATCAAAGAAAATAATGACCAGATTAAAAAGTTATCATTAAAATTGTGAAACCAGAAACTTCTTTAGCAGCTTATCTTTGGAGCCCTGTGTCCAGAACTGTAGCTGTGCCCATGGAACCCCTGGCACCCCCTAGATGTCTCCCCATTGCAGTGTGGTGGAGCTGGGCAGCCCTGGGCTGGAGAGGAGCCTCACCTTTCTGCCTCCTCTCTTGGAAAGGTGCAGCACTGCCTCCAACCAATTCCCACAGGACAGGGAGCTCTCTGATGTGGCTGGTGGCTAAAACCTGACGTCAAGCTTCTCTCTGTGGTCAGCATTAGAGGAGCACGCAGGGTACGGCGCTGCATGCTGGTACCTCGTGCTGTCCAACAGCACCGAGACACTGCCTCCCACCCCACCTGCCCTGGGCACTGCTTTAGCAATTGCAGCCCTCAGACATCTTCTGACTGAGGCAGCAACTTGCAAATCCACAAAGGAGCCTAATCCAACCACGGTCTTGGGGGTTTATGACTCGAGTGATGAGGGGACTGCTGTAGAAGGGGAAATTCTTAAAAGGGAAAAAAAGAGTATGTACAGCTACAAAATCTATCACATCTAACTGCTGAAGGGTATTTCACAAAGGGTTGCTTTTTAATAGGCCTGGCACTCAAATATAATTTCTGAATTCAAAATAAACCCAGAAACTGACATGATAATGCATAAAGAATGAATAATTACTGATGCAAATTGGAATATTTTTCTTGGAAACTCCATGTAATAAAAATGTGACACATGGGGGTACTGGTAAGAGCTTGACCTTATTTCCTGGCCCTAATCCATTTGGGTCAGAGTGACAAAAAGCAAACCCTTTCTCACATGGTAGGGGTCAGCCAGTTGTGTTTAATTTTTTTTCTCTTTTTGCTTTCAAATGCAAATAAAGCACATTACCAATGAAAATAATGATTGTAAATGAATACCTCAATTAAAGGAAATTTACATAAAGATACATAGGATAATGGTAGCAGTAGCTATTCCAACATCCTAACAGACAATAATCCATTTCTTTATCAACTTCTGTCAATAATCATAAGCTTTCTGCTCTCCATGGTTTCCTCATTATAACACCACCTCTTGTGTTTTTAAATAGTTCTTTCTTCAGATGCTGTCCGAGCCAGCAAGTGAACCTGCTATCTGTATTTGCCGACTCTTTGTGTTTTTTCACAGGTGTACATTATTTCTGCACAGGACTACTGTCGGCAGCATTGTGGATGTTCTCAGATAACAGAGAGACAGTTTTGCCTTGGGTTTTCTTTAGATGTCCTCATTCTCTGTAGGACTGACCCTTGAGGGCTGCAGTACTGGCAGGTTGCTGTCTAGTGTCTGTTTGAAATACAACATTTCCTTCCATTTGTAATTCCTGCCCTAGTGTTTCTCCTGTTCCTCTTGTCTGGCATGTAACTTCTTTGTGGTGCTCCTGATCAGTTAGCACTGTTGCCAGTAACTAGTTATAGGTTTACAGGGATTTTTGTTTCCTTCCTGTCATAACTAGAAACTGTTAATAACTGTGCTTGTGTTTTGGGGGAGTTGATTACCTCTATTTGGAATCACAGGAAAGGGGACAGAGATGATACAGCTAAACAGATTTGTCTACAGTAATGGTTTTTCTGAGGCAGTCTAATATTATGGACATTTTCTAGTCTTATTTAATATCTAAATACAAAGAGAAAAAAAAGTAGATCTCCAATAGACAGATTTTTTTTCTAATTAATGTCCAGTGGATTAAGTAAGTAGCAAAAACTGTAAGCTACTGTATACTACAGTACATCATTAAAAGGAGTTAATATTTTCTTTGTAATTCAAACCAATTCTCTGCCAATGGTGGCCAAAATTTTCATTATTCCGGTACCTGCGTTTACTTTAGAAGAAAGGTAAATGACATAAATATTAATAATTGTTTTTTAGAAAGAAAATATTATAGTATACTTTAAATCATTTGTTGAAAGTTCTGTTTTGTTATTTTCCTTTGGTGGTCCTCAGAGGTGGTGGAATTGTGCCTGCCTCTCCCCAACTCTCTGTGACTGAGCAATCTATTTGGAAAAAAATTCAGAGAAATGAAGGGACTGTTACTTCAGTGGAGCTTGGAAAAGACAAATGGGCACAGCTACAATAAATTCAGTACAGCTCTAAAACAAAGAAAACAGTAGTAAGCTGAATTACATTTTAGAGAAAAAAATCTGCCAAAATTAGAACAACAAATTAAGTCCATTGGACCAGAAAATTTAATGTAAGAAGGAGTATGAGCTATATATATTTACAATTTAAAGTATGTAATGAAATGGCAGCTGAGCAGAGTACTAGTGAGTGGATTACAGCTGAGTATAATGATCGGCTAAAAATTGTGGTGCCAGAAAAAGATAAGAAAACCATTCTTGTAAAACAATCAAGAATTGGATTTCTTGTTAATATTTTGCTATCCCATGGCTATCTTATTACTAATTATATTGACATTTTTGTAGCAGTTACATGTTCTTTTTACACTGAACACATGCCTGATCAAAAGACACTGTACAAGCTGTAACCTGCCAGTTCTGAAAACCATTTTGCACAAAGCAGGTACTTGATCCACACCCATTGCACACAGGCATATTCTGCCACATGTCTGTATTTAATCATTCTGGTCTATGTTAAATAATTTTGTGCTTAATACTTCTACAATTAATTGATATTTAATAGTATATTTATAATTTCATGTTAAATATACCATATAGGCACTTTCATAAAACCGTTATTTAAAAAAAAATATTTAAAAAACCCAACAGGTAAGAAAACAACAACAAAGATGAATCTCATAGATGGCTGATAGCTGGTACAAGCTCTTTCTTCATTTCCCATGAAGGACAAGAAGCCATTTCCCACAGGACACCAAAGACTGGGCTGCTGAAGAAACAGGAATCACAGTCCCGGCTGTGTGAGCATGGGGACTGCATGTAGCATCATGCTGGTGTTTGTGGGTGTACACTCACCCCCTCATGTACACCAGGAATGGCAAGATCGCCTCTAAGCCAATTCCAAAGACAATTCCTTAGATTTTCCACTTGCTATCACCCAGAAAGAGAAAAGGCAGCTTATTTTGGCTAGTACTTGTCATGCAAGTTGTCTTTTGGCATGCAAGTTGTCTTTTAGTCATGAAACTAATCCTGCTAGTTATGTCTTGGGGTGTAACTGCAGGGGTGTGTGATTGCAGCATGTGCAGACATACCTGCACGTATTTCATTCTGGAAAGCAAGCAAAAATAATGTAGAGAGGGCTTTCAGGTGAGCCATTTTTCACCTCTTCAGATTACAAAACTGATGAAACAAATGGCATAAACCTAATGACACCATGTAGTTACAGCTAACATTGATCAAACTAGCTAGATTAACACTAGCATACACCAGTGTTACATGTCCTACAGCAGTGTGTACAACCTTCCCAGTATATCCCGGGCATGACTTCCACCATGTTTTCTGGCCAATTTTTTAATCTAGAAATGGAAGCAAGCCATAGCAACCAAAGAAGCAGCCGTGCTTCAAAGAAACTTCTGTGTTAAGCCTGAGATGAACTCTGGGCCAGTCTTGAAGGAGAATTGAAAAATACAGAGCAGGTGTCCACTTCCAAATTATCTGTGTCTAGAGTTTCACATACAGTTTAAGCTGGCATAAACATTGCTTAAAAAGCACTTCCAGGCTCCATCCTCTCTCAGCTGCTTTTATCAGCCCTTGCTCCTTTCCTGCCTTTGTGCTGGCACAAGTCTTTGTGCAATTGCCTTGTGATCTGCATTCTGCTCTGAGTGAGAACTGATTTATTTTCTCTGCAGTAGCTTCTCCTGCACAGCCCAATTCCCTGTGCAGCCATGCAAACACCGTGCTGGCAGAAGGTGAGGTGGGCAGCGTAGCAGCAGGAACAGGGCTCAACAGGCAGGGCAGGGCTGTGCCTTGTGCTTTTGGCAGGCAGGATGATTTAAACCACCTGGACATATGCATGACACTGTATTTTCCATGTTGCAACTTGGTGACACGTCAGTACACAGCCTGTAATGAGATGTAAAGAGACAATTCATATGAATCTTTTCAACTCTAAAATTGAGTTAAAAGTTGCTAGAACTGCCTTTATCCTTTGCCAATTTTTGTGGCTTTACAATAACTTTTGTTATCTTTAAATATTTTCTTTTTCTGCCTGTCCTACATCAATGGAAGAAGACTGTGATTAGAATTGAGCTCTCCAGAGGTAACTTTTGAGTTTCTCTGTTTGAGTTTGCTGCCTCAGAAAGCAGGGAAAATGTGTTGGCTCACTGTTCTATACAGTAAGCCAATACACTTAAGAAATTGCCATTACACTGGTTTCTGATCTTTTCTAGCTATTTTAAATTTAATTTTCTTGATAATGGAAAAACACCTTGAAAATAAACAGTCTCACTAGCCAGAGGCAAGAAAGAGTACAAGCCCCAAAATGCATTCTAAAAACCTTGTTGTAATAGTTTCAGCTTCACAACAGTGTAGAACTGGGCTTGGACAGTCCTTGTGCTGACTTCTTTGCTTTCTCCTACTTGTCCTCTACTAGAGCAGGTGCAATTAGAGATTTAAACAAGTGGTGTGTTAACATTGTCTGGTGCAAACTCTGCATCCCTGCTCTTGAAGTAGGAAATCTTAACCACCCCCTCATTTCTCATGTGCTACCAGAATAGTTTATTTAGGCCCTGCAACCAGGTCCTAAAATCAGATACAGTAAATCCCTGCTCTACAGATACACAGCCATGGAAAAAATGCCCAGACAAAGCACAGTAGGCAAGAGACCTCTGAATACATGTACTCAAGGAAAATGCCTATGAAACGGGTAATTTAACATTCAAAGACATTTTAAATCGTTTGAGTAATTGGCAATTGCCTCTGACAGGAAGGACAAACACTTTAGTAAAAGCATTTAAGAGACTAAGTATATGGCACTTCTCCTCCTTCACAGCTTAGTTTCATGTGACTTGTGTTTGATGTTTGTGTGTTCCTTTAAAATGTGGCACCTTTGACTGGAGGCTTCTCCAGGCTCACTACATATCAGTTCATAAGAAAGCACAAGCACTCCCAGATCAGACAAGAAGTGCCTGAAAATGCAGTATCCAGGGGAAGCCAAAGCATGCTGACCTCCTTCACTGCTTGTCCTGGCAATATTGAACCTACCTAGTGGGCAAAAGGGGGTCACCAGTGCCTGCTTTTTGACTTTCTTACTGTCTTCACATGCTTTCTGCACTGAGTGCTTAAGATCTTGCTGAACTTTACTCCTATTTTTATAGTTCAGTGAGATGTTTTATTTTAAGCACAGAAAGTATTAGTACTTCTAATGGGTATTGGTATTTAATGGATATCAGAGGCTTTCCCCCATGTTGTATTAGTTGTGCCAAACTAATACAACAGGGGAAAAGCCTCTGATATCCATTAAATAATCATGTTTCATTAATCAGTAAAGTGTTCCTCCATGATTCACCTTGATACCATACATATTTGGGATGTACAGTTAATGGATATGGCTCAGTGCAATGCTGCACAGATCTTTGTGAATCACTGCACTACACAACTGGTTTTATATGGCAGATCTACACATGCATGTAACAACAGTCAAATATGAGAGAGTGCAAGGAGCTGCAGTTCTCCAAAGAATATAAAATCTCAGTGTACAGTCAGCAGTAGATGACCTGGGGAGTGCAGAATAAAGCAGCACTTTACGGTGTCTTGCACGATAAATTGTATCATACAGAAAATGTGCTGTCACAGCCACGCGATGTGCTTACATCAATAGCAAAATTGTTTGCTCCCCAAATGTTTTGAGTCTCTTCCTTTAAGTGTGACAACAGTAAGCTGTCTTACTGAAACAGTAATAAGATGATTCTATAGGCAAAAAGTTTTCTTCAGCAGAATATCTCAAAGCCATTAAGATGCTTGGATAAGAAGTGGTCTGTATGGCTGTTTCATTTCTGACCTGGGTAGCAAGGGAATATGTATGAATGATGGGGGGCGGGGGGCGGGGGGTTACAACTGCCAGTCAAGTTCTCCGCTTCTTCCATATTCTTGAAAAGAGGACTGGCTGCAGGAGCAAACCTGCTCCCTTCCTATTCCTCGAGACCTCCAAAACCTCACCTACAGCATCATGGCAATCCCAAATGATACCCAGGACTTAAATATGCTGTATGTTGGGAAAACACCATCCCAGCCCTCATGGCACAAGAAAAGGAAGCAGGGTGGTTTTTGGTGGTTTTTTTTTTTTTTGTTACCTCCATCTAATCATTTTGGTAAAAATTTAGCCATACTACCTATCACAGAAGCAGGAACCCTGGAAGGAAGAAGCTCGTGCTTCCAAAGCTGTGGCTATGGCAGTGCATCCCCGTGCCTGGATTCCCTTGACCTGCAGTGGCTGTACTACACTTGTCCAGTGGAAACACTCAAGAGAACAGCCCTGCTCAAGCAGCTATTTCCAAGTTTGGCACAGCTGACCAACAAGCAAACAGCCACTCTGCCAGAGGCTGACCTCCCGCGCAGGCCAAGCCAGGAGGGACAACGCTGTCCTGGGGTACATCAGGCACAGCACCACCAGCCAGGCAAGGGATGTGATTGTTCCGCTCTGCTCTGAACTTGTGCGGCCTCACTTTGAGTGCTGGGGGCAGTTTTGGGCACCACAATATGAGAAAGATAAAAAGCTTGTAGAGTGTCCAAAGGAAGCCAACAGCGATTATAAAGGAAGGGCCTTGAGGGGAAGCTGTGTGAGGAGAGGCTGAAGGGTCTGTTCATCCTGCAGAGACTGAGGAGAGGCTTCATTGCAGATACAACTTCTTCATGAGGGGAAGCAGAGGGGCAGACATGACTCTTCTCTGCGGCGACCAGTGACAGGACCCAAGGGAATGGCCTAAAGTTGTGTCAGGGAAGATTTAGATTGGATATTATTAAAAGGTTCTTCACACAGTGTGGGGTTGGGCACTGGAACAGGCTCCTCAGGGAAGTGGTCACAGCACCAAGCCTGACAGAGGTCAACAAGCGTTTGGACACCACTCTCAGGCACATGGTGTGGTTCTTGGAGATGTCCTGTCCAAGGCGAGGAGTTGATTTCATGGTCTTTGCGGATCCCTTCCACCTTAGCATAGTCAGCGACTCTGAGATTCAGGGAAGCCGCACTCCGTCCCGCCCGCTCCCGCCCGCCGCAGCACAGCGCTCGCGGTGTGGGTGGGGGGTGCGCAGGCCGCTCGTGCCCAGGGCGGGCGCCGCGCCCCCTGCAGGCCGGGCACCGCGCCCCCTGCAGGCCGGGCACCGCGCCCCCTGCAGGCCGGGCACCGCGCCCCCTGCAGGCCGGGCACCGCGCCCCCTGCAGGCCGGGCACCGCGCCCCCTGAGCCGGCGCGGCCGCGCCTCCCCGCGGGGCCCGGCGCGGAGCGCGGGGTGGCGCCGCTGCGAGGCGGTGCGGGGGCGGCGGCGGCTCCGGCTCCCGGCACCAACCGGAAGCGCGGGGGACGGAGCGGGAGACGCGGTCGCGCCGGTTGTAGCCTACCTCGCCGGCTCCGGGATCGGCGCCGCTCGGGTCCCGCAAGCCCGGAGCCCCTCGGGAAAGGTGAGGACGGCGAAGCGCCCCCCGCGGAGGCAGCGCTTGGGGTGGCGGCGCGGTGGGTGCGCGTTCGGCTGGGCGGAGGGAGGCGGCGGGCGGCGGGCCGGGCCGTGGGTGTCCCCTCCGGGTTTGATGTTCCCCGTGCTGAAGCAACTTCAGAAGCCCTGTGAAGGCAGGCGGCCGGCCGGGCACACGGCCTGACCTTCCGACGCCTCGGTCCCACCGCGCCGGCCAAACGCCGCCGTGGTCAGCGGCGCCCACGCTTGGGCGCGCCGTGGGACGGGGGTCGGGAGAGGAGCCGTGCCCCGCCGGGAGGGCAGCGCAGGGCAGGGCAGGGCAGAGCGGTGTCCGCCGAGCGACGCCCGGGCTGGCGGCCCTGCGCGCCAGAGGCGCTGCCGCCGGCCGCCGTCCGTGGGCGCGGGCAGCGGCGTCCGGCCGTGGCTGCTGCGCTTAGCACCCCGCGCTCCTTAGAATGCCGTTCACATGCAGCGCACCTGCTGCATTTTGCTGTTGTTTTGGGCATAAAATCCGTCGGCTTGGGATTTGAGATGTGACTTTCATTACCTCTGGCTTTTTTTTTCCTTTTTTTAAGTAAGGTGGCGTTCTTTGGTTTTGCTGTGTTTGCTTAAGTTAGCTCGTTTCCAGCAGTATGATATTTTATTAAGCGCGTGTTTGTGAGCTATCTATCACCCTGTATCCAGCATGCTCTGCTGGGAGCTTTAGCGACAGAGCCTTCGGGAAAGCCATGAATCATTACTTTTTCTAAGTTCCAGAAGCAGAAATAATTTGAAAGCACTGGAGTAACTGGGTCACTGCCCGAAAACATCATAACTTTCTGCAGGAGGCATGTGGTTAGATGTTTTCAGGACTTTTTCCTGGAATTGTAAGTCCTGTGAAACCTATTTATTTTATCTATCCATAATGTGCTTTGCATACCGGTGGCACTGTGTTAATAATGCTAACCCTGGAGAACCTGGCTCACTGTGAGGGGAAAACAGAAACGTGGACTAAACTGAGGCCCAGGTCCTGCAGCCTGGCCTGTGCCAGGACTAAGCTGTGCTGCAGGCCTGGATGCAGGCTTAGCTGCCTTGTCTTTCTTGCCAGTGTACTATTGGCAGGCATCATTTACAAGGTATAATGTAAGTGAAGTGACCAGTTTAGGGGTTTTCTGAGATAAAATGTTTTTTAGTTAATGTGAAATCTATTTAAAGTCTTCAGTCTCTGCCATTGACACAATTTGGCTTAAAAATTATTCTTTTCCTCAACTGTACTCAAATTGTTTAGGTGGAGTTGAGCCCTTTTTCTGTAGCAATGGTTATATAAATTGAAATAAAATTAGAAATGTTATTAATGGAAGTTATGCAGAATTCTTAGGTTCTGACAAAGTACAGGCTCAAATGTTATTGAGGCTGTAACTAAGGTAGGCAGAGCCATGCCTCCAGTCTCACTATCTGCGGGACTGCTACTCAGCCTGATTAAGAAAGTTTAGGAGTTGTAGGTGTTGTTGGCTTTATTTTAAATCATTGGGAGATTAGAGGATTAGGATCTATTTAATTTGGATTTGTGCTTGGAGTTTATTTGCATCTTATCGATCAACAGTTTATGATATAATTAAGAGAGTTTTTTAATTTATAATTTTTTTTTCTGCAGTATCTTTTGCAGCTCTATGTCACTAACTCATTTTCTGTTTTCTGTTTGGTCAAGACAGTGTTAACCATGTTTTGATGTTTGAGGGTAGTTTTTTTAATTGGACATTTTTATTTGGGTTTTTTTTTTAATGTATATATTTTTAAACTCTGTATAAATATACTGCTGTAAAATCCAGGTTGGTATGCTCAAGGACTGCAGGCCTTGTTGGATACAAAGGATGATTTGGGACTAAAAATGGATGGTCAAAGATCCTGAAAGCAAATGGGCTGTTTTGCCAAATAAGGAAACTTGGCACATTCGGCTGTGTATTTTAAGATAGCACAAGTGTGGTGTGCTACTACTTTATTGGCAATATGTTGGCAGTGTGCCTTCCTGCAAGAAGCACTGAATCCTACTTTGTGGAACCACACAGTAAAGTGAGGGGCAGGGAGTTGCATGTTTGTTTCCCGTAATAAATTACAAAGGCTGTTCCTGCAGTAATTGAATACTTGAGTAGCGTCAGGTGCACGTGCAAGATGAGAGATGCAATTTTCGGTTTCGCAGCCACGCACTAAACAAAATATGAGTTGCAGTTACTGTGCAATCTGTAAATTATTTCCTCCCTTCTTTCTTTAAGTCCCTCAGTGGAAACTCTCTGTACTCTGGGAGCAGTAGCTGAATGACAGAAGGGTCTTCTGTTTTCTATGTGGAATAAAGCAGAGTGTTGTGCATGGCAGCACTTCCCCTACATTGCAGTTTGTAGGGAGCTGGGAGGTGGAAGTGAATGTGTCGAGTTATTCCAGTGTTGCTGTGCTAAGATGCAGGGCAGCCTGCAGCAGGGTCCTGCTTGCCTGGGGGGTTCCCTCACCTTGGGAGCCTCTAGAGGAAACCGCAAATGTGGGACCTTTGCAGGGCCAGGACCTTCTCATGGGTTAATCCCCTTAAGTGCTGTAATCACAAGAAACCAGTGATGGTGGATGGTTTCCTACACCTGCATCACTGATGTGCTGAACTGAGCTTGTGGTGACATAGTGTGACTTCTCTTGCTGCAGAGTGACTCTGTGTAATAGTCCTGACATGTTGCATACTATTGTTAAATTATAATTTCAAATGTGAAACACTGTCAAATGCAATTCAGATCTCTTACTTTTTGGTATGAAATGAGCAGCTTCCAACAGCATACTCAAATATAAATTACTATGTGGAAAACAAAGAGCCAGAAGAAGATGTAGATGTTGCTGCAAGATTACAAGATCATGCTAACTATTAGAAATAAAACAGGAAAAGGAGAAAATTCTTTTACCCCCAGGAATATCCCATAGGAATAATTGAAATAACCAGCAGTTAATTATTTCCTGAAATACCTGTCATTCACTGTTTCTGATTTGTCATGTTTTCATTTAACTGAGAGCAAGAAACAGTCAGTCAATGCAGCGTTTCCCTGCTACACAGTGCTGGTACTTCAACACCCGAAATCATGAGTGGGGAAGGAGGGTGCGGGTGCCAAACCCCCTGAGCTGTGTGCAGGGGAGTTGCTGTAAGGCCCAGGCCTGGAGGGGGTGTTACAGTGGGCTGCTCTCCTGTCTGCAGAAGTGTAAGATGCAAAAAATTGCCACACATTGTTGGAATGCTGTGCTTGGTTCAGATGCAAGTGGAAGACTATAGTTTAATGAAATACATGATGTATGTTTTTTTTCTCTTAACCAGTGTAACAAACTCAGATTGTTAAATATTTTTAAAACAGGATGACAAGTTAATAAGTGCGTGTGGATTTGTCACTTGCAATTTTTAATCTAAACAGTTGTTTTCTCAAACATAACACAGAGACTGATCTTTCTAATTGAGGATCACCTATCTTGAATTCAAAAACATGGAGTAATGTTTAAACAGGTCTGTTGTTTCATCTAGTAAAAGAAAACTAATGCAGGCTGGTTTTAATTACAGATCTCTAACTAAAGAGTGTCTCGTCTAAATCTCCTCTACTTTCTCTGGAAAAAAAACATCTGGAACAACCAATATCCAGCATCTGGATGCCAACCAATGAATCATTCTTTAAATAACATTAATTTATTGTATGCCATATAGCGTCTCTACAACTACCTAAAAAGAGGTTGTGGGCAGGCAGGGGTGAACCTCTTCTCCCTGACAACCAGTGACAGGACAAGAGGACATGGTCTTAAGATGTATCAGGGGATGTTTAGGCTGGACATGAGGAGAAATTTCTTCACAGAAAGGGTGATTAAACTTTGGAATGGACTGCCCAGGGAAGTGGTGGAGTCACTGTCCCTGGAGGTGTTCAAGGAAAGACTGGATGTGGCATTCAGTGCCATGGTCTAGTTGACAAGGTAGCATTTGGTCATAGATTGGACTCAGTATCTCAGAGGTCTTGCCACCTGATTCCTTGAGTGATCCTGTGATCTGCAGCTGATTGCCTGCTGTAGGTAAATTTGAAACTGAGGTGTTTAAAGAATGAATGGTAGTTTCTGCAAGTGCTTGTGTGCCAGACACCGCATTGTGCGTGCATGAAAATTGAGATAAAGTTTGAAGCAGTAAGGAGGACCTATCAGAAAAGTACTCATTTGTATTTGTGAAGTGTCTGGTGTGCATGCTATTCTCTGCTAGTGTAATTTTCAGAAATCAAATAATTTACTAGTTTGGATGGTTAATTTGGTGGTTCTGGGTGAACAGTAATGTTAAATAATTTGACAGCTCTTCAAAGCTATTGAATTCAGATAGTGAAGGCCAGAAATTTCTTTCCTGAGATATGTTTTTCTTTTCACTTGGTTTCCTTTTCCTTCTGCCATCCCAAATGCAATTATCTGTTTTCAGCTATTCCCACCTTCCTGTTAAATTTATGGTCTAGTTGGCGCATATGCTTTTGCCTGTGAGTAACATCACTCTTCTAGCCAATTCTGTTGTCAGTAAGGAAATTATTCACTCGAGTGTGATTACCTGTGTGCATAAATATGTGCAGGGCTGTGGCCTTAAATTGTGAGGTTTTTGAGTTGGGAAGTCAGTCTGTTTTATTTGTCTGTAAAGTGTCCCATATGCTTAAGACACCGTGTACAGAGCATGAACTTGGAGTAACTGCTGGAGTAAACAATGCAAATGAACATTTGTTTCTGAAGATCTGCTAATTAAGCAGCAATGGCAAGGAGCAAAACATTAAAACATCTCTTGGTTTGTAGGATTGACCAACTTCCTTTGAGCTTTCTCTAAGAAAATGTGTGCAGGCTGTGCAAAAGATGACTATGGGATGGCAGGAAATTACAACAGCAACAAGGTTAAAACAAGAACAGAAGGTCAGCAGGACAGTTCAGGCACTTGTATTAGGAAAGAGGCTGAAGAGCATTGGAAGAATGGACTTTATTTGTTATCCTACTGGTAACCCCTGCTCTGACTTGCAGCTCTGGGAAGAGAGCATTCATGTTC